TCTTGTGTATGGTGTCAGGTATGGATATTGTTTCATTCTTCTACAAATGGACATCCAATTTTGCCAGCACCATTTGTTAAAAGAGACCATCTCTTCCCTATGTAATGGATTTCAGCCCTCTGTCAAAGATCAACTGACCATAGGTCTATGGATCTATTTCTGAGTTCTCAATTCTATCCCACTAGTCTATGTGTCTCTCACTGTACCAATACCAGGCTGTTCTGAATACTGTGGCTATATAGTAGGCTTTCAGATCTGGAAGTGTGAGACCTCCTACTTTGTTCTTCTTCAATAGTGCTTTGCTTATTACCAAGGTCTCTTTCCTTTCCATATAAAATTAGTCATTGATTTTTCCATATTAAAGAATGTTGATGGGATCTGGATTAGGATTGCATTGAATGTATAGATAGATGGCTTTGAGTAGAACTGACATTTTCACAATGTTCAACCTTCCTATCCATGAGCATGGTATGTTCTCCACTTATGTAGGTTTCTTTTTCTTTCTTTTTTTTTAATGCATTTTATTGAAATATAATTTATGTTCAGTGAAATACACAAAACTAAAGTGACATGGGTCCATGCTTTTTTTTTGCAGTGTTCCCTTCCCTACCCTCCTATCCCTGGCAACCAACAAAGAAAGTTTCCCTCCACATATAAATTTCCTTGACCCTGCACAACAACAAACTAATACTGTATTTGTCCTTCTGTGATTGACTTATTCCACTCAGCATAATGTCCTCCAAGTTCATCCATATTATGTGGTGTTTTGCAGACACTACATTATTCTTTAGTCCTGCATAGCATTCCATTATGTGTATGTACCATAGTTTGGTCATCCACTCTTTCACTATAAATCTCAGAGATAAGTCCCTTGCAAGATATGTAATTATTGGCAAATATGAATTTGTTGCTGTCATTTTTGTTATGTACTTTTTTGTTGTGCTGATTTCTTTGTTCCATATAATTTTCTGCTGAGCTTGTTTTGTTTATGAATCATGGTATCACTTCCTTCATTGCTATTGTTTTAGCATTTGCTGAATATTTATGCTAGTCCTCTTTTTTATTTTAATGTGAAGGTTTATCATTTTTCTTTGAGGTTACCGTGTGATTTATAGTTTTCTTCCCAAGTTTAGAACAGTATATTCTATCTTGTAGTTGTCTTGACTTCCCTACCATCTAGAAGTTCTATAATGACATAGTTTTGTCTCCCTTTTTGGTTTGTAGTTGTCCTCATTTGTCAACTGATGTCTCTGGTTGCCTTTACAGTTTTGTAAAGTGGTGTTTTATAGTTTTCTTTGTACAGTTTTTTTTTTGTGTCCCTAGTGACATTTATTCCCAAGTATTTTATTTTTTTGGTATCTATTGTAAATGGTATTGATTATCTTATTTCCTTTTCAGCAATCTCTTTGCTGGTATAGAGGAATCCGAATGATTTCTGGATGTTGATCTTGTATCTTGCCACTATGCTAAATCTCTCAACTAGTTCCAGTAATTTTTTTTCAGTCTCTTGGGTTTTCTACATATAGGATCATATCATTAGCAAATAGGGATAGTATGACTTCTTCCTTACCAAGTTGGATGCCTTTGATTTCCCTTTCTTGCCTTATGGCCCTGGCTAGGACTTCCAATACAATGTTAAACAGAAGTGGTGGTAGAGGGCATCCTTGTCTGGTTCCTGTTTGCAAGGGGAATGGTTTCAGTCTCTTTCCATGGAGAATAATGTTTGTTTGCTATTGGCATATATGCTCTTTATTATGTTGAGGAATTTCCCTTCTATTCCTATTTTTCTGAGAGTTTTTATCAGGAATGGGTGTTGGATTTTATCTACATTGATTAATAGGATCATGTGATTCTTTTCCTTTGTTTTATTTACTTGATAGATGACATTGATTGTTTTTCTAATACTGAACCATCCTTGCATACCTGGTATGAACCTTGCTTGGTCATAATGTGTAATTTTTTTGATAACGCTGTTGGAATCATAGATACATTAAATATGTTCTATCTCCTGAATATACTGTTGATTTCAATTGAATGAAATAAAACGTGGGTTTTCTGTGACTCTACTGTACTTCATAGTTACAGAAAATTCTCGTTGATTGATTCAGACACACATTGAATATCTATTGTCCTGAATGGTAGGAAAACAAGGGTGAACAAAACATAGCCCTGTCTTCAAGGAGTTTTCATTTCATAGAAGCAATGATCATATTAAGTTGATTTAATTCAATCTGGCAAACTTTTATTAAATGCCTATCATTGTGCTAAGTTCTTTAGGAATCTTGAGAAAAATGTACAAAGTTGTGGCTCCCTTACCTAGTAAAGGAGACAAAACAAAGTACTGCTTTAAGAGTTGAGCAGGAGAAATTACACCTGTATGGAAAGAATCAGAGGAGACTGTGGAGGAGTTGGCATCTGAATCAGGCTTCAATTTAACAAGACAAGCAGAGTTATGAAACACTGGCATTCCAGGCAGGGCATGCTAGAAGAATGGCTGGTAAGCCCATTTTACTGTATCAAGGAGTACAACATAGATGAATCATGTACGAACAATGGAGAATGAAAGGTGATAATGTCAAAGAGACAGAGGCAAGACTCATACACCAGTGTTCACTGCAGCATTATTCACAATAGTCAAAAGGAGGAAACAACCCCAGTGTCCATTTACAAATGAATGGATAAACAAAATGTGGTACATATATACAACAGGGCATTTTCAACCATAAAGAGAAATGCAGTTCTGATACATGCTAAAACATGGATGAACCTTGAAGATATTTTTAATATGTCTGTGATCCTGTCTGCCCTTTGGCTCAATTAGCATATGCTCTGATCCCACTTACATGAAACACATCATTGTAATAAGTCTTAGCTATGAGTACAACTATATGCTGAGTCCCTTGATTCCTTGTATCAAATCTCCAAACATAAGGGTGGTCTTAGGGGCCCCTGACACATTCATCTAAGATGAAATAGGTAGCATTAACAGTCCTATAACTATTAAAGATTGAGTTCATAATTAAAATTCCACAAAGAAATTAGAACAGCCAAAACAATTTTGAAAATGCAGGATAAAGTTGAAGGAATCACACTACTTGATTTTAAGACAGCTATAGTAATGTGGCATTGTCAAAGGTACAGCAGACACATAGATCATATATGTATGTATGTATATATATATGTATGTATGTATATATATATATATATATATATATAT